GGGGGGGGGACGATGTTTAAGCGTATTATACTTACGCAGAGGTGTGTTCGCCACCCCTACCTTGGCGTGCCGCGGGTAGCCATGGCAACCACGCTGACGCTCCCGGAGCGACCGCGCGCGCGCACTCACACTCACACATGCATACACAGAAGCGCGGGCCAACGCGGGAGGTGCTATACTCGGACAGGGCAGTGATGTGGCTTAGGTGATTTATTCTCTTACAAGGCACAGTGCCTGCGTGTGCATGTGCGAGGGTGTGTGAGCGCTAAGCGTGCTAGGCGCCAGCCAGGCTTTCGCGTTCGTTTGCGAATTCGACTCCATTCATCAATTCCCCCACCCCCTATTGCTTCCTCTTTCTCTCTTACGCACACTGACTTTCCCTCACGCCAACTGAACCAGATACGCCTTTTATTTGTGTTCCCTGCTGCTCCTTTGTCTTTTATAGGTGTCCCGTTAAAGCGTATGCAACTGTTCACTGTTAGATAGAAAATCAAGGACAAGTCATTTCTTCCATTGGAATGTCGGATGGGGTTACAGACAGCGCGCTGGCGCTACCCCGCCTGGGCCACCTGATACACCACACCCCCTCGCCACCCCCGTGTTTGGCCCCTGCCCTACTCCCTCCCGCGCCCCATAAATACGCTTTGTCCAGCCAAGTCGGCATGGAAACAAAGGGGATGTACAGATTTCAATGAAAGGGGCTGCTTTGCTGCTTTGCTCTCTCTTTCTCTTCCCTCTCTCTACGTTGGTATCAAAATTGTAAGCAGAGACTTGGGCACAAAACAGTATCATAGGACGGAGGAGCATAGGTCTGGACACATTTCTGATGGGAACTATCTCTCAACTTGGGTTGTTTTCAGTGGGTACAAGTAGAATTAACAGAGAGAGAGAGAGAGAGAGAGAGAGAGAGAGAGAGAGAGAGCAATAAGACAGACCGAACCTCACTCTAGCGTGAGGGGAGTGGGCAGTGGGCAGCCCAGAATAATGAATGTGGAAAAAAAAGAGAGAGAGAGAGATTGCTCTCCAGTGAGTAATTACCCCGCGGCGTATGGCTATAGGTTAATACCGCCCGGTGTCACAGCGCTATCTCTCAAAACAATCCGGTACAAATTATTATATTTAGGGGCCGGAATGGACACGACAAAAGGAGGAAACTCTTGTGGGTCGATTGCATTGGCAGAGTCGCGGCGATGCAAGTATAGTTGGCTCCGGGAGGACGAGCTGCTCGCTGAGGCTGACCTTGACCGCGCGCTGGCAGGCGGGTTCGTCGGGCTGGGTGACGCGCTGCACCAGACACGTATGCATTTAGAATACGGGCGCTACGATCACATATATATTTTTTTTAAGCCTCCCGCGACTGGGCGGAGTTTCTCCTCCGCGGCCAATCAGAGCGCGTGCTCCGTACACCCTCATTTGTCTTCGTCAAGCGACTTGCCCCCGCCGAGGCGAGCCCGCCCGCCTGTCAGCCTGGCCCCGGCACGGCTCGGCTCGGCTCGGCACGGCACGGCACTGCTCGCACGGTCATGGTCGTAACCACTGCACCGGGAAGTAGTTTGTGAAAATTTCTCAATCTGAGCGTTTGCCCGTCAATTTGTTGTTGGTGCGTTCCGGCCGCCACTGCTGACGCTGCAACTGCTGTCGGCGGCTCCCACGGAAGCAAAATAATAGCGAAATTAAGACCGTTTTAGTGCGCATAGATTTTGTTCAGTTTTCCTTTGCGGAAAAACTTGAGGTGCGACGTCGTTCCAAATGACATAAATTGCTATTTTTGCGGTTGGATCCTCCGCGCTTTCCGCTGTTCCCTTCTCCGCCCCGCTTCTCCCTCCCTTCACACTCTCCCTCTTGCTCGGAAACCTGTCGGCTGTCAATACAGGCGGCATAACTCGTATCCTTGGCGGAGTTTCAAGTATGCATCGAGCGGAGGAAATGAAATGATGAATTACCCTGTATTAGGTGGTACGGGGAAGGAGAGGAAGAGGACGAGAAGAAATCCTTCAAAGCAAGTTTTGCACCGCACGTCCATCGCCTGAGGTGTCACGCTACCGCATGTAGATGGAAATTAGAAATAAAATAAAAATAAAATAAAAGTAATACGTACAGAGTGCACAAAGTTGCTCGCGCTATTTATGTTTTTGACAAAATGGTTGATGATTGAGGGGATTCTAAAGAGAGCGGCTACCGTGAGAGCCGTTTACTTACTCGCATGATGCTTTTTTTTAAAAATACTTGTCAGCCTGGAAACGCGGGCACAAAATTGCAACTTTAAAATTCAATAAAAAGGGTCGCGTGAGATAAATGAAAGAACACACAGAAATTGTCCATGCCTCTGCCGTAATAGACTCATCGGTCGACGTGCCGCCTCGCCGCCGCGCCGACCTGGCCACGTCTGGCGTCCAGGTGCCGCGGAGGGTCGCCGCCGAGCCGCCGAGCCGGAGGTTCGGGGTGGCCTGCGGCAGCCAGCGGCGGGGAGGAGGTGGAAGGGGGAGCGAGGGAGACTCGAGGGTGGGGGTCAGTGCTGCGCCGGGCGGAGGACGCACGGACGCAGACCGGGATACCGACTTGTGATCCCCGATGACAGTGCGCTAGGAAACCGTCAGATGAATCATGTTAACGGATAAAATCTGTTCGAGTACAACTTAACTCGCTATTGCTGCTGCTCATTTTGCAATGTTGTAAAATCTCTTTACATTTTATGATTTAAAAAGAGTGCCTGTACTTCTTTTAAAATTAGTAAATAGGCATGAAATATCATGGCATTGAATGTACAGAACCAAACAAAAACTTTAAAAAGTTTCGGGAGTGAGGGGAGGGGGGGGGGTCTACTTTATGGACGAAGATTCATTTGCATATTGGCGTCCAGGAGGGCCTGACTGAACGAAGAACCGAGTCCAACACGCTGAGTCTGTCCCTGTCGCTCTCATGGAGCAGCCACACGGCGCCGAGGAGGCAGCTCCTACCTCTCTCTCTACTCCCCCCCCTTCTTTTCCTCTCTCTCTTACTCGCGAGTGTAGTATATACGTGAGCTGGATTTATGAGGTAAAAGGGGGAGGGGGCACTGGATTGAGGGCTGCGTTGGTACCGCTCCGTTCACACGTCGATCGAAGTAACTCTTTTTTCCCCCGCTGGCCGGACTCGCGGGGGCGGGGCATTTATAATTAGGGCAAACGCGGCCGTAAATCCAATTACCTGTCGTCGGCGCGCGGGGTGGCTTTTTTTTACACCTGGCCTGATAGGAAGTGTTTGGGGGAGGTTTGGTTGGTGACGTGCCGTTGGCCACCGCTGTCCACCGCCCGCTGCGAACTGACCAATACTCGTCCATGGTAAACAGCGACGACCGCAGCACGATCCGCTCGCCAACCGCTTTAGAATCGAACGTATCGTCTGTATATTTTTGTCCCGGAGAATTATAATATTTTGCGGTCACTTATTTGTTTGCCTATTTTGCTCTAAATGTTGCTTTGCAGCAATCATGAGTCATGGTAAAAGTCGGCACTGGTGGCGGCAATGTCTATATATACGCGCGGCTATCATCAAAGGTGCAAAGGTTTTGTGTTTTGGTTCGAGCTTTCTGCGCGAGTCAAGGGGCAGGAAGAAAATTATAAGGGGGTAGGGGGAGTGGATGATGTGATATCGGCCTTACAATCTCTTCCGACAGAGCGCCTACACGCGCTCCCCCCTCCTCCCCCCGCCCCAACTCCGTAGCCTGCTACCCCTGTTTCCTTGGCTGCGTTCACCATTCGGCCAAGCTGAAATGCACCAGTGGTTTCTACTGTTGGGAGAAAAGTAATGCTGCTAACCGCTCGTAGTTCCGTGAATGCTTACTCTGGAATGTTTTCGTCATTGGGAAATGAATACAGGTACAAAGTCACTTCTTTAATTGTGAAATTTATTGAATCTTTTTTGTTATATATTCTTCATGTAGCCCAGCCGGGTTGTCCGTCCGCGATGCACCTGCAACACAAAGATAATATGAGGACGTCGTGATACGGTCGGGGTGCCTCATATTTGAGTGGGGTTAAGTAGTGCGGTAATGGGCCCGCCCGCATGCCCAAGTACACTGCGGGGAAAAGGACTACCGCGTCCTGGACCACATCACTAGTGGAAAGTGAAAAGGGCGTAAGTCCACGGACGTTCCATTGGACTTACGCCCTTTTCATTTTTCTCCAGTGACATAGCCGCGTTGGTCCGAGAAGTGAGCGCGCGACCTCAAGCAGGCGACCCAGTTGGGAAGGGGCGGAGGTGGGGGGCATGAGAAGGGGGCTAAGGATCGGAGCAGTGAACAGAGGGGAAGGTTGGGGGATGAAATCGCGATTTGAGGGTGCCTAAACGTCCGCACCTCCTCCACCGCCACCCCCCGGCGCGGCCCGGCGGCCCGGCGCGCCCCCACCGCCCTCTCACCCCTCTCACCGTCACCGCACCACCCACCAACTTGGGACCCTGCGTTGTTGCTGCTGAGGCAGAGCCAATCCATGTATAAATAATCTGTGAATTATGGGGTGTGCTGCCGTGATGAATTATAGCCCGGCACCGCTTTTCTTCCGTGAGAAGGGCGCAAAAAAAAAACAACTGTAAAAATCGATGGGACCGCCATTCCTATACCCTGGCGCCCTACCGCACAACCCCTTTTCCGGCCTACCTAGCGGACTTGTCATATAACAGAAATTAATTATATTTTTCTTTATTTTTTGCATTGAATTAATGTGTGTTTCTAGGTATAAATAGCATTAACTTAGAGTCAGAGATGATTGTAGAACACTTTATAAGCTGATAGTAATTTCTCACTTCTTCCGATGTGCTGCTTCTGCACGGGGTGCGTGAACTGTCGCCCGTGCCACGTGCGATCCACGTGAGGCGTGGCGTGGCGAAGCGTAGCCCGGCGCGGATCAGCTGATCGAGCAGGCCAAGGCGCTCGCTGGGCGCGCCCCTCCCCACCAGCCGGGCCGGCATACGGCGCAAAACATAACCTCAAACGACATGCGTGCGCGCCGCCGGGCTGCCGCCGGCCTGCCCGCGCGCTCTCCGAGCCTGCGCCGCCGGCCGCCAGGGTGGATGACAGCGCCAGCGTCGGCGCGCGGCTGGACCGCGACGCTGGCTCCATCTAGCGGCGGACGCTCCAACTCGCTCCGGGCGCGCCTGAAAGTAGTTCCGGGCGCGCGCCGGGCTGCGCGCCTGGGCACCAGCGGCGGAGGGGAGGGGCCCGCGCGCTGCTCCGGGCTGCCGCGGGCTGCCCCCACCACCACCACCGCCGGGCTGGGTCGGGATGGATGGAGGTGAAGAGAGAATGCAGGATTACCCGCCCCCCTCCCGCCCCGCTCCCGCCCCCCGGCCGAGCCATACACTTGCTCGGATGGCGCTAGAATTTTAAAGCAGTTTGCCGTCCCGCACTTACATATGTGCCACATTCTTAGGATTTATTGCCCGTATTTATGTCTCGTATACATACTTTGTTTTTCCTCGGCTGCTCCGACGACGACGCTCGCAGAGCGACGAAATCACAGCATCCTCTGGAAAAAGAAAACAATGGGGTAACAACTAGAAGCTGGTAAAAAAAAAAAGTCTAACTTTTATAAGCCGAGTGCCGCTATACCCTGTTTAATTTTAAATTAGTGAGTTGGTCTGGTCTGGGTGCAACGGAAAGGGTAGCAAACGTTAATTGAAAAGACGAAGCGATGGTGTTCGATTAGCCACCCACTTATCACAACAACAAGGACCAACCACGACCAGCTCCTTTGAAAATTGAAAAATAAAAGCAGAGTCCATTCTTCGAGAAACCATAAATCTATTTCCCTCGCCTTTCATAAGTCGCCTTATGCCTCATTATAATGGGGCTGACGTATTGTTGGCCACCTGAGCTCGTAGTTCATTATGTTTTGACCCCAGCCAATTATTCCCCACTTTACAATCTTTAGGGTGGCCCTCCGCCTCCTGCGGCAGGGGGTTGGTACCGGGAGCCGGTGGCAGGAGGGACCTCACCAAGTGGTCCTCTCGAAGGCGAGCGGGCCCTGGTCGTCCTGCCGCCGCCAAAAACCTGGACAGCTTTTGCCATAAATCACATATTTCGATCTGCTCCGGCACCCTACCTGGGAGGAGGGCAAAAGTAAGAAAGAAAAAAAAAGGGCGAAACACACGCACAGCCATGTTCTTTTTTCCAAAACTCCCCCCCCCCCCCCCCTCCCCGCTCTCTCTCTCTCTCTCTCTCTCTCCCTGCGGCATGGCTCCTAGTCTGTGGGGTGAAGTCGGCCCCTCTGGGTGTGAGGCTGATTTATTTCCTTCTTACATTTTTTCTCCACCGCAGTTCGAGTGGGAGAGAGAAGAGAGGACGGAGCGGCAGGCAGAGTGAGAGGGAAAAGGGCGGCATAGGAACATAATGGTGAGAGGGAAGGCGCGCGGAGAAGCCTATGGGGGGAGTGAGAGGGCGTGAGGGGTGGGTGCGCGATGGGGTGGCGACCGAGCGGGCGAGAGAGAGAGAGAGAGAGAGAGAGAGAGGGGACGAGAGAGAGCGGCAGGGAGGGTTGCTCGGGTCGGTGGATTTTATTAGGCGGGTTCCGTTCACTCTTCAGCAGTAGAAAAGCGTTCGGGCAGGTGTAAGCGCATTTCTTAGCTATTTCAGTACAGTTGTTGCAACAAATAGCGGAGATGAGTGCGACACAATAATTTTTTCCCAGTCGTTGTACTGATGGGCACGTTTTCATACGGTATTTATGTTTGTCCTGACTTGAGAAATATTGAAAAGGAATAGGAACAATGTAATAGCGACGACAATAATAATGAGAGCGCAAGGCCTTAGCGGGAGTCGTTTCGCTGTCCTTGTTTTGTCAATTATTTTTCTTATGTGTTTCCTTTTTCTTCCCCTTTTTTTTACTTTTTTGCGGAAAAGACGCGTGTGTGTGTACTTCGATGCGGAATGTTGATTAACGAAGCGCCGCTGCCCATACCTAGCTGCACAGCTGCCTGTCGCTTCCACCGCTGCAACCGCTGCTTCGGCTGCCGCCGCTGCTACTACCGCTGCCACTGCGTCTAATGGCCGCTGCTTCGTTTAAATGGTAGCGCCATGCACGGCCGTGTGTATTCCAGGGAAATTCCTTCCGAGCGGCCGTATTCTTTGCCTCCAGGTATTGTTTATCATCGACAATATCGTGGCCGCCGGGGTGTACTGTTCTGGAGCCGCTGGGGACCTGGAACAACACTCTAAAAAATAATACAGAATTCTGTATCAAATTTGATACAGAATTCTGTATCAGGCTCTTGTGATATGGAAACATGTAACATGGGTACAAAATTCTGTAATCTGATCAAAATGTTACAAAATACCGTAAATGTTACTAATTTCTGTAACAGATACAAGATCAAGTAACGGTGGATACAATTTTCCGTAACCCTGGATACAGAATTATGGAACTTCGTTGGCACGGTCTCCGGGGGCCCCGGTGGCATTACACCGGGCTCCAGCGAACCTCTCCTCAGGTAGCCTGGGTGGCCGCGCGGGTAAAGGCGCGACTTCCTACTCCAAGGGTCTGGGGTTCAACTCCCGGTGCGGCAAGGTACATTACGTAAAAAAAGATCGAAGGAGTTAAGTCCCCTAGAAAAAAAGAAGAGGGGGAAAGGGAGGAAGAGTAACAAAATAAAGAATTACAATTTTAAAATCCCAAAGCTGTTCTGTATCAGGTGATACAGATTTTCGTATCCATGTTACAGATTAAAATCTGTATCAAAAATGATACAAATTTCTGTAACATGTGATATGTAAATTACTGCGTAACAATGTTACAGAATTTTGTATTGATTTTTTTTAGAGTGAAGGAGTGGAGAGCGTTTAGAAAATTGCTGGAGTGCTGCCAACTGTTTTCGAAAAGAAGCGTCGCAAACAATCAAACATGATAGTTTGATCTTGAACAATTTAAGTGTTTTAGAATCCAACGATAAAGGCTAGATGGGGAGGAAATCAGTGAACTTATTTGGAAAAGCGAGGGGGAGAGAGAGGGCGAAGAGGAGAGAGGAATAAGGCGCTTCCAATCGGGCGCCAAGTCGAGCATGAGCATGCATGAGCAAATTTTTATTATTTCCATGCCATGTCGTCGTCCGAATTATTGTTGTGTGCGCCGCCACGCCCCCCGCCGGAATGAACGGAAAGACGTATGTGCAAGCGAGAGAGATGGGGAGAATTGGTTTGGGGGGAGAGGAGCCAGGAGAAGGGAGAAGGGGGTCCAAAACGAGATCCAATCAAGAGGCTTGCTGCCGGGTCGGGCGTTTTACCACCAGCGGGTTCACTGACGCGGAGGCTCCGTTCTTTCTTTTTTTTCTCTTCCAGATTTTTTTTTCCTTTCCATCTTTGCGGAGCAATTTCCAATTTTGACATATCAAGCATGACTCGCCCCCTCTGGCCGCCAGCCGCCGCTGGCCTGTCAGATACGCCCATACGTAATGAATCGCTTAATCTATCTGGCGTCTGGAAGGATCGCCGGGAGCAAAAGCAGGAGGCCGATATTAGGAAGCCAAGGCCCCCTCGCGAGGTTCAGAAGCCCGCCCGGCTGCTGCTGTGTGGTGTGCATGCAGGCGCATGGCCCCATTGTTGGTCCTGGCTAAGCAGAAAATCAAAGTGGATGCAACGTTTGGTTTTTAAACTCGTTCAGCAAAATTTTTAATGAGTGATGGCGATTCTTTGTTTCTCACGACAAAGGTGTCTGATGAAGCCCGTATGCCATGCATGCCCACCGAATTTTTTTTTTGCCTCTTTCTGCCGCGTTTTAACGATAATTGTAGACGATGGCGTGGGTGCAACAGTTCGCTCACGTTTGTTGCCATCTCGCTCGCTTCTGTGCATGGCCTGTTCCCGTTCGGTCTCCCGTTCTGTCTCGGCGTGGCGTGGCGGGGCGTGTGGGCCGCGACCACGCCGCAGCGAGGAGCGGGGCCCGAACGGGGGTAGGCGAGGACATGCACCTCGCCTACACTCTCAACAAAGACCTTTTCGTGCAATTCGGACCTGGTCCTTTAGCGGTGTCGGGGTGATCTCTGTAAATGTGTTACCGGGCCTTGTAGACGGGCGTAAATATCGTTATTACTCTCGCCTATTATTTATTTTTTTGAGGAACACTTTGGCCAAACATTTGACCTTGTTTTTAGCCGTGTAGCGACCTGATACAGCCGCCCTCCGCTCCACGCCACTAAAGCGATCATCGCGCCACCTTATAACGTGCGAAAAGCGTTTGCCACCGGCTGGCCGCTGCCTTGGGGTCGGGGCAGTCCGAGAAGTAGGAGTCCGTCTGGCGGCGCTACCATCGCGCCACGCCTCGCCACGCCGCGTTAGGCTGCTTCACGCATCTCACCTAGCGATTCTACCTGCCCGTCTATCGAATTTAAATAAAGGGGGAGTATGATCAAGGAATCGCCAGCTGTTCTCCGTATCGTTGCTTGGCAGAAAATAAAGAAAAACGAGAATTGAATAGAGTTGTATTAAGTAAGTTTGCCAAATGAAAAATCTTAGCAGTGAGTACTTTTCACGAATATAGACCATAGACCCCTCAGGTGAGGCCGGTGACCAAAAGTCGCTCGATTAAGCCGGCCGACTTCTTGCTCTCCTCAGCTACAATTTTATTTATGGGTCAAGTTAAAGTTTCCTGCAAAATACGGAAATTTTATGTATGAAAATAGAATATGGGAAGCGAAATATGGCATTCCATCCCCCCCTCTTCTCCCCCTCTCTTTTCCCCCCTCTCTCTCCGGTTCTTCGGCCTCGCCCGCTGCAGCTGCTGCAGGGCTTACTTTGGGGGAAAGGAAGATAGATCGCTAAAGTTGGCCGCTCCGTTATTTGTTTGTAGCGCTAATGTATGCCGCTGCCGCCTGTTTTATGCAGCCCCCGCGGTGGCGCCCTGCCCGGCCGGAGCCCCCGCAGCCCCCGCTCGGCCAGCGCCCCCAGCGGCGAGCCCCTGGGCAAGCTCAACCAAAGGCGCCCACAATGACGGGGACTTACCCTTTTTTTTGGGGGGGGGGGGAATTTTTCCCTTTTCAAAATGGACCAAATTATCTTGAGTCGTCACATTGTGTATCATGTAGCAAGCTGAAAAAATTGAATTTTTTTGAACTTTTGGAAAGGGAAAAGAACTAAGAGGATAAAGGAAAAATTTATGACATTTGTGACAATTTTAAGCTACCAGTCTAAAGATAAAGTTACCACCAAAAGTTTCGTAACAATAACAATTTTTCTAGAATAAAGAGTGCCTCACGTTGGATTTTCTGTAAAAGAGGTCACACTACAAACAGTAATAGGTGCACGAAGCATGACCCTGGTTAAAAGTAGAAATGCCCACCAATGGGTGAGCAGTATATCTATGTCCCACCCACCGAAGGCTATGTCTGGGATTGGTCAATGCCTTGATTTTGCAAAACTCTTGACTTTAGGAAGTAAATGTAATCTCTTTTGCTGTGGGGAAGCAGCACAATTTCTTTCCTTTCCTCCCAAATCGTAATTTGTTCAAAAAGCGGTTCAATTTTCGAATTCCGGCGCGTTGAGCGTGCGCCGCATGGCAGCCATCGATCGTGGCGCGCTCTGTAGGCGGAGTGGGGAACCCGGTGGAGGGGGTCCTGCCGCCGGGACGCTGCGCGCATGCGCGCCCCGCCATGTTGGCCCGGCCCGCGCGGGAACTCAGCCACCGTAGGAGTTATTTTGAGTTTACCAATTGTAGACTCGTTTCAGACTTGTAGGGAATGGAGTAAGCACTTGTCTACAATGTCTACAATGTTTCTTACAGTGTGTTTTAATAAAACCTCTGTATGTTTATTGTTGTTAAGACCTTCCTATTACCTAACCTTTCTGCATGGATCCAGACGCTGCCTTGAGCAGTCATGAGTTTCTTCCTTTTTAATTTCACACAAGGAAATGCGTTTCAGAAATTGGTCGATGTTCTCCATAGTCCCTTATATAACTAGCGCAACTAGCAGTGCCGCCGATACGAACCGTTTGGCTTTATTTCTCTTTTCTTCCCTCGTGGTTTCTCTCAACGCTTTCTCAATTCGTGAAATGTACGACTCTCGTGGCGGGAGGCAATGTGGGGGCAGGACGGGGCGCTGACACGAGAGGCAATAGAGGAAGCTGGGAAAGGCGAGCATACCACGACGATGCGGGCTGTCGAAACTTTTGCCTAACATGTTTCTTATTTCTCTCATTGACATTTTTCCAAACAGCAAGTAAATGTTAAAATTTATGTAATAATAACTAATATTATTTATCTCTAAATAATATATACTAGGAGAAAGACGCTAACACAAGATATGACTGTATATGAGATTGTGCGTGAGTGTTGTGTGTGAGTGTAAGTGGTGCATCCGCGTGCCTGTGAGAGCGGCGAGAGGTTTGTCGCAACGTAAAATGCGGTTTGAAATGCAGTTCCACGGGACAGGCGGAGCTATGCGGCAGCGCGGCGCTCCACCGCGGCCCAGCCCCGCGGCCCTGCTGCAACGCCCGCTGTTGTCGTTGCAAAAACGAAAAGAAAAGGGGGAGAGAGAACACACAGCGGAAAAAAAAGGAACGCGCGGATTCGCCGCGAGAGTCCTGACAAAGATTTCTTTGGTTAGTTTGCTTTGATCATATCTGTCGTGTGATATCCAAACTAGGAGGCTATGCCAGTGTTCTCGTTATTTCCCCCTTTCCCTCTGTCCAATTACACTTAATTTGGTTTTCCTCTTTTTTATTTAATGCGGTCTAATTCCAACTCGGCTGTTGTTGAATTTCTAATACAAACTAAGCCATTATCGAGACTAACAATTATGTTGTTTTTTTTCTGCCATTCAGGTAAGAACCGAGGCGCTTGCGGTGCCTGCGCATGGAAGGGGACGCGGAACGGGGCGTCGTCGCCATGCAGCCGAGAGAGGCGTGAGTGAGTGCGAATAGTGGTGCGGTGCGTTTTGCAAATAAGCAAGCGGTGCCAATAATGACGATGATTCGGCGGTGCCGCGCCGCTGCCTCCTGTCCTTGCATCTTGATCCCGGCGTCACGCCACGCTCATTGGCTATGCCACGCCGCGCCACGCCACGCCGCGCCACGCCCAGCCACGCCGCTACACGGGGCCCCCAGCCGCGCGCACCGTGTCTTAGCAACGGTCTGGTGACCAGGAGGAGGAGAAGAGAGGGGTTGCTGGGACCAACCTGTACCCCACTACGTACCTCTTCCCTTTTATCCGCC